GACAGTGAGAGTGATGGGGACAGTGAGAGTGATGGGGACAGTGAGAGCGATGGTGACAGTGACAGCGATGGGGACAGTGACAGCGATGGGGACAGTGACAGCGATGGGGACAGTGACAGCGATGGGGACAGTGACTGTGATGTGGACAGAGACAGTGATGGAGACAGTGGGATTGCTAATGACATTGTCAGCAATAATGATGTTGATGTTAATGGTTAAGTTGATGATCAGTTGATACTGACTGTTTCTTTTTATCCCTCCCCAGGTCACTCACCCAGTTTACTTTAAAGAAGCTGTAGAACACATTGTCCGAGCTGCTCGAGTCTTCAGTCAACCTGGGGGACACCTGATGATGGTACTCGGTGTTCCTGTCTCGCTCGCTCTCTCTGTCTCACTCATGTACACACACACACACACACACACACACACACACACACACACACACACACCCTTTCTCTCTCTCTCTCTTTCTGCCTCTCTCTCTTTCTCGATCTCTTTCTCTGTCTCTCTCTCCCTATATGTATGTGCTCTGGTTTGGGAAACTAGTTGACAAGATGATGCGGCAGATGGGGTTCTGGACCCACACCTGTTATGCTGTGAAGTGAGGGGCTGTAGAAGGAGAGGGGTGTGGGGTGAAGGCACTGGTCACAGATGGTATATCATATGGGAGAAGCCACATGTCTGCCTATGTAGGGGAGATGGAAAGACACTGGCCAGTGGAACCTGTTAACATGGGATCCAGGCCAACCCAAGTCCCAGGAGGTATTTTATTGCAATTTAAGCTTGTGCAAATTAGTTATTGCAAGGAAAACCATTGCAATGTCTTTTCTAAGTCTGTTTCTGTGAGTGCCATACTCCAAGTGTCAGCGCAATTGCAGCAGCGATTACAACCTGGAGAGGTTCTCCAGCAATTTCTGTCTTTTTTCAGATCTCCAGAACCCACAATTCCTTGTTTATTTTACTGTTCCAACCTCTCAGCATCTTACCCAATGATGGAGTTGGTGAGAATGAGAAAGTGCTCCCCACAAATCAAATTCAAACCCCCAAGAAATCTCAGAAAAAGCCTTGGAGAAACCATATTTTATCCTTGCCAAATTGGAATGTCTCTTTCCCTCTCTCCCTCTCTCTCTCTTTGCCCCCCACAAATGCTGCCTACATTGCTGAATATTTCCAACATTTTACTTTTTTTTTACAGTTTTGTTTTCCGGTACCTGCCGTGTTTTGTAATTCCCTGTTTGAGGTGTGTTCAACACAAAACTTAAGCATCATTTCCACATTATTGTTTTCGGAACCAGGTGGGAGTGGACAGCACAGGAAAATTGACCAACTCTACTCTAGCCTGCCACGTTGCTGACTGTGAGCTAGCGGTGCTTTCCATTCGACAGGATTACAACCACAGTGACTTCCAGGAGGAGCTGAAGAAATCCTTCAAACAGGCAGGCGTAAATGGTGTCAAGACAGTACTGCTGCTGACAGATGAAGATCTCATCAAGGTGCAGAGAAAACACAACGCATTTGCACAGCAATGAAGACAGGGTTTGGATGTCCCGAAACACACTCCAACCACTGCACTCCTGCAATAGCAGCTGAACTAAAGCTAATGCGGATCCAGTGTTTGAGAGAGAGAGACAGATAGTGCACAGGCCTAAAAGGGAGGGAGAAATGCACAGCTATCGATTACAGAAGGATCAGGGCATCTCATACTTTAACCTGAGCAGATAGACAGGGCTTCAAATTAATGTTTTATCCAAAGAATGCTACATCTGCAAAATCCACACAGTGCTGCTCTTACAAACATAGAGGACACTCTCACCACAGACCCTCTGACTGTGTGGCACTCCCTCTGCACTGACCCTCCAACAGTGCTGCACTCCCTCAGTACTGACCCTCCGACACTGTGGCACTCCCTCAGCACTGACCCTCCGACACTGTGGCACTCCCTCAGCACTGACCCTCCAACAGTGCGG